TTAGTTAAGTTAGGTAGGTACGAGTATTACTACTACTTACTTACTTATTTATAGTAATATATATATATATATATATATATATATATATATATATATATATATGTGTGTGTGTGTGTGTGATGCATACAGAGTCTGTGTTGTGTGTGTGTAATGTTTGATAACTTTGATTTACATGGTAAGCATATCCAGTATATTCAAAAGCAAGATCTATCCTGAGCATGAAATTTAGGTATCAACTCATATTATACAGGAAAAGGTTTCCAAAAAAAAACGTATAAACACACACAAGCACTGTTCTCCACGAAAACTTCAGGTTCTTTGTTTAAACCCGATAGACACTGTCAGATCTAGTTAAGAACCGTATTCAGTTACATGTTAGATCATAAGATTTCAGGTTGGATGTATAACCTGACCTAAAGTCACCCGAATCGCCTATGAGGGTAGCGATTCCGTTTCGGAATCTCAATTCGACGTTTCCTAGGCGAAAGTCGATTCTAAAATAAAGGAATCACGTTTCCATTTTTTGTGGAATGCGATTCCACCTAGTTTAGGAATCTCAATTCCTGAATTGCCAGAATCAAGATTCCATATCGAGGACTTTATGATTCTTAGCTCCACAAAAATGCGATTCTACCTGTGAGAAACGTTGATTCCAAATTTTTTGGAATTGCGAATCCATGTTGTTTGGAATCAAGTTTCTATATCACAAACATTGTGATTCTTTGCTACACAACAATGCTATTCTACTTATGCTAAACATTGATACAAAGTAGTAAGGAATTGCGAATCCATGTTGTCAGCAAGCAGTGTGAGCATAAGGAAAGCAGAAACCTTCGATGTGTGCTCAATCATGAGTGAGTGCGACATGTATGAGAACATGAGAGAATTTGAAGTTGTTGCACACGGCAATAAAATCAAAATTTAAAATATGAGTAATATTAGAGCATAAGAAGAGCAGAAACCCTTCGATGTGTGCTCAATCATGAGTGAGGGTGACATGCATGAGAGCGTAAGAGAATTTGAAATTGTTGCACACGGCAATAAAATCAAAATTTAAAATATAAGTAATATGTTAAATTTTTTATTCTCTTATTTACTAATTTCCATCCTCATTCCATGTTACTTTTTAAGAACTCTAACCAAGAACAAATAATACTAAAAAAATATGTTACTTCAAATTTAATAATATTTGGTAAATGGTATGTGTACTAAACTACTAATGTAATAATGTTTAATATATGATTAGCACCATCATTTCTTCAAGTTGAATACGAGGATAAAAATGCTTTTCTTTAAGTAAAATAAGAAGATAATAAGGTTACGAGCGAAGTGCCCTGTGTGGTGTTTTAGGTTAAATTGATCATTAAATATCAGAGAAATTGACTAAAAATTGAACAACTCAATTTTCAAAAGTCAAAAGACTCAAAACTACATTTAACAAAAAAGAATTACTATGTCATGTACTTATTTTATGATTCAAGGAAAGGAGATAAAGGGAGCTTGCCCTTGTTCTCACTCCTTATATGTCGTAGACTAGCTCCAAACCTTGTAGAATAATAAGATTATCAGTACACCGAGACCATTGTATGGGATTGTCCACAAGATATCATAACGGTTGACAATAGTACTTGGAGTCTTGGACTGAATATATATAGACCAAAATTCGATCTTGTAGTAATGGGTAAATTTATATATTTTATGAATACTTCTTTCATATACCAGAGGGAATTGGTTCGCAATTCTAGTAAGGGGAAAATCTCAATTCCAATTTGGGGAGAATCACGATTCCGGAATGGTGAAAATATTGGTTCCAAGCTGATGGGGACGACGATTCTAGAATTATAGGAATCACGATTCCATACTTTTAGGAATCAGATTCCAGCAACCACCGAAACAAGTGGGGTCATGTGTGATTCTATATAGGTATGAAATGCGATTCCAACATGAAGGGACATCAATTCTTGTAAATAGGAGACACGATTCCTAATTTTTTGAATCGCGATTCCGAAATAGTGAGAATCATTTTTCCCAAATCCAAATCCAATGCGATTCTGATGCACGTGATTCCGCGATGCCGATTCCAAAAACGATTCGGAATCACAGACGTTTCCAGCAACTATAACCTGACCCCATTGATTCAATAAGCAGTTCGCCTAATGCCTAGGCGGGATGGGGGGCCTGGGTAGACCAACTAGGAGGTTGTCCCTGAGCGCCCGCTGAGTACCTGCCTAGGCAGGCGTGTAGGGGACTGCGCTCCACTAGGTGAATGAAAATCCATCGGATGGGGTATTTTTCGTGTTTTTTTTGTTTGAATTATAAAAAAATGCATGAATAAACATCTTATGTACAAAATATGTACCTAAAATAGGGTTACTAGACACCATTTTCCCCCTCTTGAACCTAGGCCGCCCAAGTTCTGGGTGGCCGTCTAGGCCCCCCGGCCACCTAGGTGCCGCCGGCCTTATTTGGAACACTACCTAACCCAATTTGGTTTCAGGTCAAGTTGCAACTTGCAAGACTGAATTGAGGCTTATGTAGAAACATATATATAAACACACTAAAAAATTCTAGGGTTTCCTTTCCTTTTTATGAACTCATTCATGATGTCTTGCCCAAATCCGCCATGGTCGGTCCAAATCGGTCGTGCAGGTCGTAAAACCCGAAAAAAGAGGAGGGTTGTGCTAGGTTGGTAACCAGCGTAAAACTTTGCTACATCTTTTGAATCTTAAACCAATGAGGTGGGAGGTCATAGATACATTTGTAGAATTAGGATATTAGAAGTGAAAGAAGCGTTAAGAGAGATGAAGATAGGAAGGACTTTAAGACCAGATGGTATCCAAGTAGACGTTTGGAAGCGCATGGGAGAGATTGGCTTCTGGTTGACCAAGTTGTTCAACAAGATAGAGAGAACCAAAAAAATGCTAGATAAATGGAGGAAAGTATTGTGATTACCTATTTACATGAACAAAAGGGGCATAGAGAATTATATGAACTATCAAGGGATCAAATTTCTGAGCCACACTTAAAGCAATCGACGAGTGATTGAGAAACAACTAAGACATGAAACAAGCGCATAAGAAAATCATTTTGATCTCATGCTAGGGAGGTCAATAATTGAGGGGATTATCCTACTTACACAATTAATTGAGAAGCTTAGCGAGAAGAAAAAGACCTCCTATGGTCTTTATTGATTTACAAAAAGTACACGATCGGGTACCAAGAGAGTTAATATGATGGCTGCTGAAAATATAAGAGTCTCTAGAAGCTATATTGACATGGTGAGAGATACAAGGGAACGGTAACCAGTGCAAGGAAAACTAGTGGAGAGACAAGGGACTTTTCAGTGACATTAGACCTACATCAGGGGTTAGCGTTAAGCCCGTATCTCTTTGTTTTGATTATCGATGAGTTAACTAGGCATCTACAGCATGAGGCATAGTGGTGTATGTTGTTCGCGGATGACATTTTTGATTGATGAGACTAGAGATGGCATCAATGGAAAGTTAAAACTTTGAAGGGATGCTCTGGAATCTAAAGTTTATAAAATTAACCAGACTGAGATAGAATATATGGAATGCAAGTTTACTAATAACAGGAGTAGAATCGAGGTGTAGCTGAGTTTGATGCCCAAGAAATACCTAAAAGAGAATATTTTCGATATTTAGGGTCGATTATCCATGAGAATCGAGAGACTGAGGAAGATGTCACACATGGAATTCGAATTGGTAGGGCGAAGTGGAGATATGCTTTTGGAGTTCTATGTGATCGTCACATACTAATGAAACTGAAGGGGAAGTTTTATATGATGGTTGTAAGACCAGCCATGCTTTATGGGACAGAATGTTGGACGGTCAAGAAACAACATATCTATAGAATGAATATAGGTAAGATGAGTGTGTTAAGATGGATGAGTGGCAAGATAAGAAGGGATGGAATTCAGAATCAATACATCAAAGGTAACTTACGGGTGACTCCAACAGGCGTTAAGATAAAGTGGACTTAGGTGGGTTGTCAAGTGCAACGTCAACCTAGACTAGCACCAGTTAGGAAGGGCGATTTGGTTCAAGTGAAAGGCTTTAAAAGGGCAAAGCAAAGGTCCAAAAGGACATGGATTGAACTAGTGAAAAGAATTATAGTGACTTATGGTCCGACTGAGGGTATGGCCCTTAATAGGGTGGGCTGGTCGAACAAGATTCGAATAGCTGACCCCAAATACTCAGGGATAAGGCTCGAATGACGATGATGATGATGATTCATGATTTCATGTCCATGACAGAGCGCAAATAGGGAATTGCCTACCACTCTTCACTATTCTTAAGTGCTTCACTTGTAACATCCCCACCATTCACTTCTGACAATAGAGGCCAACCATTGCCAGGAGTGGAAGATTAATGCTTGATGTAGGAACAGAAGGTTTATGCTACGCTGGTATTCTTAAGAATAAAGATCTGATCGGCCCTTCCCCAAAGAAAAATTACAATAAACTGTATTTTAAAGAAAACAAAACCAATTAAAACTCAACAAGAATTGTGAATAAAAAGATAGGACACATTTCTTTTTAAGAAAATAAACCTCTTACATGCTGAAATGTGTTTTGACACCTAACTTTCAATTTCTAAAAAGAATCACAGATTGGATGCCAACAAGCATTTCCAAATAAAATTCTCATGATGTGCTGCATGTTACAGAAAACAAGCTTGCCAGATATTGACATGCCTTTCAGCACTAGTCATTTATGATAAGTTGACTTTCCTAAGAAAACACAATTCATCAGTTTTGAAAGGAATTCCTAACAAAATGATTAAGGCACGCTACATAGTTTTAACAAAATAAAACGTTATGGACACCAATGGCTAGCATTTCTTTCATTTGTACCGTAAGTTAAAAGGGTACAATTGTGGGCCTCTTTCTTAGTTTCCTCTTTTTTGTTTTTCTTTTATCGTGCTAGTTTCTCATTTTTTTCATTTAAACATTCACATCCATAGTCTTGAGTCCACAGCTTTGCCAAGGGCATGATAGAGGGAATGGCAGGGCAACAGTCCCCCAAGAGTATTGCACCAAGGTTTATTTTAATTGAATTCATACATATCCCTTTGTGAGATAAAAAAAAGGAATTCTAGTTAATTTAAAAAGATATGATATGACCGGTCAAGATTTCGATAGATTAGAAGTTGATATGGGTCAAAATTTAGAGGATAAAGGTCCCTAAAATCCTACCTAAATCATGATGGTTAATTTCAAAGATGGATGGCTCAAACTGTCTCCCTACTCACAGATTACCTAAATATTTTTACACAATGTTGAATCCTAAGCTGATTGGAACACCATAGGACCCTTGAGGTCTATATAAGGAGGGGACCCCCCTCCCCTTCATTCTCAACACATTTCCAGCCCTCTCTCTCTCCTCCCCACACCATCTCTCTCTCTCTCTCTAAATATTCATCCATGCTATGTAACATTAATAGTTTTGTAATAAAAATTCAAACCGTAAACAATTGAAATCACAAAAGCAAGAGCATAAGATAAAAGCAAGGGAATAAAGTAACAAAAAATTATAAATAACTATACTACAAGATAAGTCACTAGTACCTAACATGGAAAACCCTTGCGAAAGTAAACTACTCACTCTTGAAGGCTTTCATGTCCTTCAGAAGAAACTAACTGAGTGCCTTCAGAAGGCGTCCATAGAGAAAGATCTACATGCAAGTTACCCTTTGTAGTGCGATCAACGTTTAAAACTCTGCACCTGACAAATTGGCCCTCCTGATATTGGGACAATGGTTCAGGTACGAAATGTTCTGTCACTTCTGTATAATGAACTTTCCCATATAGATGCGGACCAATTTGCACATGCAAACCACCAACACCTGGAAGAATCTTACTTATTCTTCCACCAAGAAAGTCACCTTCATGTATAAACTCCGAAGCTTTCTCATTAGACGAAGTACTTCCAATATCATCTGGCTGAACAATGTCATCAACATCATGTCGAGCGCCATGCTTAGCTGATATTGCATGTAGTGACAGCCGCAATACTTTTTTCCCTCTGTCAATACCAATAATAAAGCAAGAAATACCTTGTCCCACACTAAAACGCTTTGGAAATTCCTCAAGCTCTGAAGGCTCTGCAGAAGTGTCCAGCACAAACATATGCCCCATAATACTACAAGATACAGCTAAGCGGAGCCATTCATTGTCCACCTTAACCACATAACATGTGATCATTTCCCCCAGCGAGTAATCAAAATCTTCCACCAAATGTCCATCAGCCACCTCTGCACTTCCTGCAAACATATGAATAAGAAGAAACACCTAAGTAATGAAAGCATCGCCCCATGAGCTAGTGCATTTCAAGAAGCCAATGTAACAACACACAGAACTAAATACCATTAGGATACAAATTAACAAACAAAGAACATAAACTCCATATATGCTTGCATATTCCAGATTTAAACAACTGCTGGAATAGTCTCAGTTGAGACCCATTTTCAGCAGTTGAAAGAACTTATTTTTGGCAGGTGCATCTGGGAAGCAGGACATTAAGATCTACAACTGTCAAAAGCTCTTTCAAACCTTCAGCTACCAATGGGCAAGTGAGGCCACCATCCACCAAATTTTAGATGCATTATTGACCCCACCCTAATGCAGATTGGGTCAGTTGCTGTGGAAGACCTGCAATTACCTCAGACCCTTCAGGATTTTGGTCTGAAACCTCTTTCTGGGCAGGGGGAATGCCCCTGCCAGCAAATTTAGGGACTTCTCTCCTCTACTAAACAGTTGGGAGCACCCGGGCATGGAGGTGTCCTTAGGACCACTGAGAGTATGGTTCTCCTCTCTTTCTCAGGGTTCATAGGTCACATTGACTCCACTATGGTGGAAAGTATAGCAATTGTAGAAGGCCTCAAACGGGTCTGGTAATCCAACTGCTATTCCCATCACCCCATGGCGGAAGGAGACTTCCATAGTGTCATTGCTTGGGCTACAGACTCAGCATACAGCCCATGGAGACTGGCACATCTTTTTGCTCACATTCATCTTCGTGCAAGGGACTTCGGGTGACCTTTAGCACATGTGCCCAAGTGAGTCAACCAAGCGGCTGATGCCTTGGCAAAGAAAGGGGCAGCAAGTGGAAGTGACAAGTAGCTCCTCCCCATTGGCTATCTGATCCCCACTATCACCCCATGCCCCACAGGAGACACACCCCTTTTCCCTTCCCGAACTCTATTCTTTCCTCTCTCTCCCCCTCCTCTCATCCTTTATACCTTCTCATCCCCTCACTCCCTAATCCCCTCTCTCTCTTACCCTCCTTTATCTATACCCTTCTCTATCTCTGTTCACTCCTCTACCCCCTACCCTCGTCTACTCCCCTTACTATCTTCCCCCCTGCATCATTTTCTATCCCTGATCTTGTCTTTTCCTCCCCTCCTCGGTTCTTGTATAGGAGCCACACTGTATGCTGCCATTTTTGCTATTAGACACTTGCACATTTCCTTCTATGAGGAGTTTTCAGACACCCCATTTTGTACATTTTGTATAGAGCTCATGACTTGTGGGTAGCCATTTTTGGAATTTTGTAATATTAATACGGTAATTCATCATCATCATCATCCAAGCCTTATCCTAATTAATTGGAGTCGGCTACATGAAGCATGTTCCTCCATTCTTCTCTTCAAGGGTCATACCCTCATTAAGACCAAAAGAATATTGATACAGTAATTAATAGAGTGGAACATTCCTTGTAAAAAAAAAGTGTGTTTCTCAGTTCTCTATGTATCAGGGACCCCTATTTTTGCTTTCACATTATCGCCCCGACCAGGACTACTTTCACCCCTTCCCTTCCACCGATAGCCTATCTCCTTTAGCCCTTTCCCATTCATGTTATCTGGCTTGCCTTGGAAGTACTCATTGGTTATGTTTTGATGTTTAGTAAATTTTCTTTCTATATTTATAGAAAAAAAATTAAATAAATCACGTCCATATTTAAGGGGACAAAAGTGATCACCCTTCCCTTCCCTAAAGTACACAATTCAACAGCCCCATACTTGACAGTTGAGATGGCCCACGTCTCACTCTCTTCCAATGACCAATTGCAGTAACTTGATTAACTAAAACATCTCCAGTTAATAAAATTTGAACCGCTAGAAAGAGTACCTCAGCCAGAAATAATGAATCATGAATAAAGAATATGCACAACAGGACATGTTGCAGATTTGAGTAACATCGAGTACAAGAGCATCTGAAGCAGTTTAAATGAGGGATTTTGAGCAAGACAAATAGTCCAAGGGTTTGCCGAACATCAAGGAAACATCTGTTCCCAAGGTAACCATTAACGGAAGATGCTAAAGCATGCAATCAATAAGGAAATAAGCATTTCTAGGTTGCCATTCAAAATCTCAAATCATAAAAGATACGTAAGTTATAATCAGAAAAATAAGACAGATGTTACCATGAACAACAATAGCCTCAAATCTTGTGAAGAAAAGCACAGACTGCATGAAAGTAACGAAAAATTGACAGTGATAAAGAGAAAATGAGTATACCAGCAAGCATTGAGGGCTTGATAGAAAGCTCCCAAATGTGCTGTTTGCTACTAACATCAGATTTGGTAGCTTTTTCAAAAATGCGTGCAGTTAGATGCTCCCCAATTCTATAATTGCTAAATGGCTTCAACTCCACATGACCAGCATCATAGACCTATGTATCAACAGAAGCAACACTTGTAACCAGGCACATAAACATAAAATATAAAACATTGTGGGCCATATCATTGACAAAATGACCTAACGTGGACAGTCTGAAAATACAAATTGAAACAACGATACAGAGAAAAAAGCAGGTAATTACCTCCGTAATATGTATTCTCCCATGAAGACCCTTACCAAACTTGAGTCGCATTTCCAAAGGCCTAATGCCCGTGATCTGATTATCAATAATGGTCAGAGAGATCCAATAGTCACCAAAAGGAGAACAGAGATACAAGAAATCAGGGGCCCATAACCATATCGATATATGGAACAATCCATAATGATCTCACCTCTGCCTCAACGAGTGACCCCACATTGTAACCTGACTTCTTCAAGGCTCTTTTCAAACTAGAAGAGACAACTACCTCACTTAAACATTTGAGAAGAAGTAGAAGTCTCCCAGCTCCAGATGCTTCTGGAAGCGCCTCAATGGTAGCAACAAGTCTGCAGAAAATTAGAAGCAAAGATAATCCATGAAATTCTGTGTCGGCCTCAAAGCATACACACATTACATCAACTACATAAAGTTAAACTACAGGGTTAAACATGCGCATAAACCCATGGGCTTCAACTAGCAGCAGGAACACAATTTCCCCAGAATGATTCTCATGGAACAACTTAACCAAAGATATAGGTCAAGATGCCAGGATCAGCCAAAGATAAAAAACATTTCGGGATTCCAGCTCAAAAAACTCATTGAGGACTATGAAGAATTACATATGACAACAATGCCATGAACAAAATGAAGGTGCTCATAACAAGACAAGCCGAGAAGCTCCCACAATAGGTATAAACAAAAAAATATGTACTAGCCAGACTATATTGTAAAGATTTTAGGAAGCATATTAAATAAGAATGGAATAAGTGGCATTTTGAAGAACTGCTCTAACATAAAAAGTGTCGGCAAGCACCTCCGCATTGACCACCACAGAACCCTTAGAAAAAATTCCCTTCCTGAACTCAGTCTAAGCTGTAAACTACCATCGAAACGTATAACACAGCTGTACACAAAACGTGGTCCCTTTGACTTGCAAAGGAACAGTCCATTGAAAATAAATGGAGATGGTCAACCTTTTTATAAGTTCAATGATTAATTTTTAGATGATGTCACTCTCTTTTTTTTTTTAAGCGTTGACGGTGGGGCATAACTATCAGTGCCTGACATATACAATGTGTCACGGCTCCAAAAGAAAGGGGCATGTGAAACACGTCTACAATGCTGAAGCAGCAACATGGGTACCTGTGGACACTTGAATATTTGTCTATAAATGTAAAATTATTCAGTTTAAACAAAAACAAAATTGATTTAAAATCACAATTAAAAAAATGAGAATAATTTAGAGACATGGGTCAAATGTATCAACACATTTGTCAGATTTCTAGGCATGCATCTTAAAAATTCTGGGCACCTCTAAATCGTGGAAACAAGTTTGTTGAATTTGGACATTGCGTCCTGAATTCCAGACTTATTTCAGCAGCCAGCAGATAAAGCATCATGCGAAAAGGTACACCAAGCAGGAGTGGCTGAATTTGTCATCAGGCATGTTTGAAGTGTGGACACGTACATTATCCACAACGAAACATACCATACATGTTCGTCTTTACTTCATGGTTTACATCAGACACATAAATAATCAATGACCCGCAGTAAACCACGAAACACTATACATGGCAGTTCTCCCAAATGCAATTCTATAACCATGGAGAATACCACCCAAACTAACCTTTGGCCATTAACAAAAAATTTATGGGGCAACTTTTTTGTGTTGTAATCACTTGTAGATGAATAACCTATAGCATGACCATGCTCCGGCAATGTCAACACCTGAAATGAAACCAGGAGTAAATCACATCTCAAAACTATCCTCGAGAAAAGAAAAGATCGCTCAATGTTTATTCACTATAGGTCAATAAAACACATCCAATAAGCTAAGATAGGTACCAAATAGTTCTCCTTCACCATCTCAACAACAGCATTCACATTTTGATGAAGCTCCAAGTTGAAGCATTCGTCTCTTCTGCGCTTCTGATAATGTGAAAATAAGGATGTGTAAGATAAAATTGGAGGGAAGAATTGAATAAAAGAAAAATCTTATGCAAAGTAGAACATAAAAAATGCCACTAAATTAGAGAAAGCACGAGCTATCTAACACCATCAAGAAGAATCTCTCAAGAGACCATATGAAAAACCCCTGATATAACCATAACTGAAAAGATAAGGAATGTTAAAAATCCTACGGACTTGCATGATCTAATCAAGAGTGACTGGAGAGGAATCAAAACTCCAAATGTTTACATTAACAGCAAGCACCAACCTTCGAAGAAAGGCTCCCTTCCAATCCCTCCCTTTTGTGCCCCACAAGTAACTCTTCCCTCAAAGACAGGTCTACTATGCCCTCTCCCATGCCAATGTCAAGAACTAAAGCTTCAACAACAGAACCAGTGTGCACTGTGGTGCCGCCAACTGCATAGGAGGTAATACATAGCACTGGGTCTAATACAGAAAATATCCCATCTCTAGTAGCCAATTCTAACAAATTTAGACTCACGCTGATATGGTGTTATAAAACCGACTGCGGGATCAGCTTGCAACAATCGCACAACAACTCCATAATCTTTAATCTCTTGTATTTCCCCCTTGATGAAGCTACTTATCTTACAGCTACAGATCCATTTTAAATCAGAAACTTTAGAACGAATCGACTGCAACTTCGCAATCTGCACAATTAAATCAAACTGAAGTTTATGTGACAATCAACTCGTGAGAATGGAAATAGAACTGAAAAAGGAAGTTGAACTATGACTAACAAAAGGGATTGTCTACAAAGAGAGCATTTATCTTTTGTATAAGGAGGTCACAATCATTCTTGTCCCTTAAATTTCAAAATGCGTGGTTGTAAGAGTATCATTGAATGAACACAAAGTCCAAAAAAAAATTCCCGGACTTCGTGACTCACCCCAAGCCATCCAATATAACATCTAATAAGTGGGAATGATTGTGTCTCCATGTATAAAAGATAAATGGTCATTTTGTAGACAATCCCTTAACAAAAAGACTGATTTGCGATGATCCCAAGAAAAAGTGCAACAAAAAAAATAACAGCAATGAACCGGAGTAAAGAAAATGTAGCAAGACAAAAGGCACAAGGATGAGTACACATGCATACAAGTGCAACAACACCAACTTCAAGCACATGTGTACCCATGCACTTGCATGGTCCCAAAAAAGAAATATTATTACATGCAATTGCGCCTATTCTCCCACACATGCACTGGCAGACATTCCCATGCAATCACACAGACTATCACACGTAAACGTGCCCCAGTATTATCAAATGTAGAATGCCGAAACTCGATATGGTATTGACTCGATGGGGTCCCACTGCAGGTGCATCACCTCAAAAGAAAAAAAGACTAATTTTACAGAAAAATATAATAATGCAAAGCATAACATGTGTATATATGACTTATGTAATAGTAGCCATTTTAATTTCGTATGTCATCATCATTATCCATGCATTATCCCAGCTATTTGGGGTAGGCCATATGAATCCCGATCCGCTATTCTGATCTATCAAGGCCACATCGTTAGTCAGACCATAAGTCACCATATCTCTCTCACCACTTCCATCCGTATCCTTTTGGGCCTTCCCCATGCCTTTTTAGAGCCTTTCACCATAACCCACACAACCACATACAGCCATCCCCACTTCCCCAACACTCCCATGCAATCAGAAATACAGCTATATATATGTGAATAGAATTTACAGCACACTGACATCCAGACACACCACGAACCCACATAACCACATACAGCCATTTTCTAATGCAAGAAATCATTGGTGATTGGCCAGAATAAAGTGAATAACTAACTAAAGGCCAAATAACTGTGAGTGACCTGCTTTTGAAAACCCTCCATGAAAGGCATATCACAATTGTCTTTTGAAACTTACTAGTAACTAAAATAGACTGTCATGTTCTCATGCTAGTTCATGGAATCACAGCTAATGGTGACCATCACAAAGTAGCATCTGTCATATTTAGTTATTTCCAAATTCCTCATTTCTCAGGTCCAACATGTTCCAAACTTGACTTGAAACCTAGTTTTGATTTGCTTAATCAAAATTGTATTATTCCTTTTAATAATCTGTGCATTATTTACAACAATAGGAAAGTTTGTAGGGGGATTAGTAAAACCATTAATATCGGTGTTTTAAACCCAAGAAATGGGTCGGGAATCAAGGTTGCAGTGCCCTGAGTTGGGGGCGGAATCAAACAAGTCTCTAGAGTCAGACTTCGCTGAGTCCTAGCAAATTTAGTAACGCAACCTTGGAAACTGTTGAGAGTGGGCTAGTTCCCAAGGTTTTTGCCAGGATGCTGCCGTGTCCAAGGGACTTGATTATTATATTTAGTTAAGGGAATTGAAGTATCAATTATCCCATATATCACAGAATCGATGGGGTACGATATTCTAATTGGCTCAACATCTTTTGTGATCACCTAGAAGAGTACAATGATCAGATTGCATGCCAGATATCACAAGTTTGATAGAATGTTACTTTTCACTTGGTTCAACATTATAATAACTTCCAAGAAGAGCAATAATGACCAGATTGTATCCGAGATACCACGAAATTGATAGGATAATATTTACTACATGGTTCAACGTCTCTAGTAACTTCCAGAAAAAGTAACAGCGACCTGATTGTTAGAGTAATCAAATGTAAGACATGCCAACTCTTCCCTTATTCTTTTTGAGAGTAAAAGGCTAAATTCGGCATCGCGGTGTGCATCTAGGCACGGCGCCGCGAGGGCCAGCGGGAAGCCCGAGCTAGAAATACCCACACACAGCATGGGTGGTGGGTACCGAGGTGTGCGTCTAGGCCATAGTTAGCAAGTCGGGGACTATCAATAACTCGGCTCACGTTAAAATCGGAAATAGAAGGTTTTTATTTTAAAAAGTCGGATGAAAAAATCGGGTGAAAAATACGGTTTGGCAAAAATACTTCATGTAAAGATATCGGAAATATATTGGACTAGGCTCAACAAATCGGAGTCAAAAAATTGGTAAAGTTTAAAAATATTAGAAATTTTGAAATACACCTATTTAGTAGGTACCAAAAAAAATACACCATATGAATACACGATAAATACGCCATATGGATACACCCTTTGGATATGCCATATTATAACTATGGAGATATGATAACTACGGTATGGTGAGTTGGTGACCCATTACTTCAAGGTTCAAACAGCAGCAAGAAGCATCTGAAGTTCTGGACAGAGAGGAAGAAGAATAAAACCCCAATTGGAGCAGCACGCAGAGATGGAGAACCAGAAAAGCAGCACATATAGAGAGACAAACAGCATGCACAGAGGGCGCAGCACACACAGAAGAACTATGGGTTTGGGAAAATGAAAAAACATGTTTGGGGATTGTTTGTCAGAGAGAAGCGGAATGCACATAGGAAGCAGCATGTACAGGTTTGGGGATATGAAAAAACCCTTAATCTGGTTTTTTTTTTTAAAGCTTTTATTTTTAAGATTTTGTATTGATTTTGTAATCTAAAATTTTGGAGGCTCTTTGAACCCTAATTTGGATTAAAATTTTTGGTGGAATTTTGTCAAGCCAAATTTGGGTACTTTTATTCAATTGTTTTCATGCATTATTCTAATTTGGTTATAATTTGTGATAATCTGGATGGTTTGAGCCCTAATTTATAATAATCTGGATGGTTGAGCCCTAATTTATGATAATCTGGATGGTTTTATTCCATAAACAATATTTCCATAATAAACACAGAAATCTACATCTATTTAAGCTTTTTTTTTTTGAAATAATAATTTTTTTAGAAAGTATGAAAATAACAGTATACAAATCAGGAAAAAAAAAATTTATCTTTCAAAAAACAAATTAACAGGTAAAGAAAAGGATACGATTTTTTGGTCCAGTTTAATTTGTTTTTAAGAAAAATCGCGTTTTAAACGTTTTTCTGAAAAAAAACACGTTTTTTTTCCGAACTTTTAAAAAAGGCGTCATTTTAAACGTTTTTTGTAAAAATTCCTTTTTTTTTAAGAGGACACATTTTAAACACCGATTTGCTAACTATGGTCTAGGCAAGGCACCACGAGGGCCTGCGGGAAGCCCGAGCTAAGCACACACATAGTGTGGATAGATAGGCACTGAGGTGTGCGCCTAGGCATGGCGCCACAAGGGTCTACAGGTAGCTCGAGCTAGGCACACCCACGCAGTGTGGGTGGTGGGCACCAAGGTGTGCGCCTAGGCACGGCACCACGAGGGCCTACGGGTAGCCCGAGCTAGGCACACCCATGCAGTATGGGTGGTGGGCAAGCTCGAGCTTGGCACACCCACGCAGTATGGGTGGTGGGCATAGAGTTGTGCACCTAGGAAAGACGCCGCAAGGGCCTATGGGTAGCCCGAGCTAGGCACACCCTCACAGTTGCAGCACCTAGCACACATCACGCACCTCAGCCTCATCCCACTCAAGGAATGCATTGCTCTACAGTTATTTACTGAAGGAGAAGTACAATAATCTCTTTTTGTGTACTTTATCCCCAAAAAAAAAAAAGTACAATAAGTTGTAAGTTTGTCAACAACATAAATTGTAATCCCACCCTTACAATTGGCAGGCGAGATTTTGGGCCATTATTCTTCTCAAGGCCCTGCCCAGACTGGCAGAACCTGCACATACATGAACTAGGCGAATTTATCTATTTACTTTATTATATTGTGTCACTGGAAAGGGTACTTAGAAACTTTATATAATGATGATTGCACAAAATGGGCTTAACCTCACATTTCATTTAACAGGAATTAAATATTCCATCCTTTAGAAGAGGAACCTGAGCAGTAAAATGATAAAGAATAAAGCCAAGAATTGCTACAATCTAAAACCTAGAAAGCAATAGCCGAAGGAAGGTAGTTTGCTATCAAGCGGACAAAATTGGGCGAGTGGAAGTCAGGGTAGGGTTAAGTAACATGAATTGAGTACCAAAACAGTGATAATCGAATCAATCAGGCCCATTTTTAAGGTAAAACTTCTCTGCAGAGTTGCATCTCATGGTTACATGCATCCAGGTGGCTAATGGAAGTCTATGATTAATACGAAAGAAAATCCAGTAGTTTCATATTCCTAGAAATAGGCATTCTTGTTCAGGTACAAAAGCCATCACAGATGGGACTCCAGGGACTCGGTTGTTACAAGGTGGATGCAGTTTGTTGCATGCAGGAGTGGGTATGGGGGAGGGGATGGTCAATAACAAGAAACTCCACAATGGTTCCATGATAGGATTGCCCTCACAATTAATATATAAAAGTATAGAATCTCAAATAAAATTAAAATACACACAATGTTAAGAAATTATACCTAGATAAACAATAAATACATTAGAAATAAACTTATTGTAAACACACAACATTTTCTCAAGTAAATTTTAAGACTTGTATTTATTTGCTTATGTCTTACAATATAAAGTCCAATATTGATAATATATCTAAGTTATCTTTTATCAATATATTTATAATTTTTAAATAAAAGATATTATTAGTAAAGTTCAGGCTAATAAGGCATGCCCTTCTCTTCCCCTACACCTTATATATTAAAAATTAACTAAAGCATACATACATAGAAAATAAATAGAGTAATAAAGTGATGGATGAATTTTTGCCCAATGTTGCTTACCTTGGACCTACCATCCCTTCTTATATGTGATTCTGAAGCTATTGCAATTAGGGCACCTTTTTTTTAATGATTTGAATTTAAGCACCTTTTACCCCTAGAAAATACAGTGTTTTGCTACATTATTAGTCTCTTTTGTTATTAATATACATTTAAGACTTTGTTTCCTTCTAAACTATATATCTAACATTGGTCTGAATTACATTGACCACTACCAAAAGGATTGGGGTCGTGTCCTTCCATAAGGGAGCAGAACCCGTGAGATCCAGTTTCGAGATTGTGGGATGACATAGCAATCCCAGTAACTAAAGGGCACACAGCTTTCCAAAGGAAGCATAAGACAGAAGCACCCCAAAATAACAAATAACCAGTTTCCATTAAGTTGCAAGAACAGCTAATTAAAAGCATTGGCAATAGCAGAAAATGGACTCTTTAAACTGGAATCGAGCATCCGGAGTTTTACAGGGGCCTGGAGACAAATGGTACTATTTGAGTATTTGAATCTTGTGGAGATAAACAATTTATGAGTCAGGGGAAGGCAATAAGAGAAGAGAGTGAGCTTAAATAACAAAGTTATTATCATTCGCTACAAAGAGCAGAAGGACAATATAGTTTTGACGAAAATAGGATGGGGCAGCTTGAGCTCCAAAGGCCCAAGTTGAAACTTGCCCAACGATATGATTAGCACTACATGGTGAAAACTGTGATTTATGGCAATTTCCAACAATTAGGTCAGCAGCAGCGAAAGTTAGAGAGAGAAAAGGAGAGTAGAGAGAGGCCCGAAAGTTAGAGAGCAAGCCATAAGGTAAAGGGTAAAATTGTCCTATGTCATAGTTAACTGTACGATAGGGGGTCCCTTGCAAGAAAATAAACATTGTGGGTGGGGGGCAGAGAGAATGGGGGAGGGCATCTAGGCAGTGGTCATGGGGCCAATATAACCCTTTAAGGCCTGGTCCTTTTCCCCAAAAAAATATAAATAAAAAACCGCATGTAGTCATGTAAAATAATGAGAAACACCAAGCTAAGTCATCTAAATAAATATAAAAAGGGCACACGTTCTGGAAAATATCTAAAGAGACTATAAAAATATAAAGGGCACACCATGTCGCAAGAAAAATATCAATCAATTCTATCCCAAAATAATGTGCATGCACATCATACATTGGCCCAAACTTTGATGTGCTATACCTTCCACAAAGGCACACTTGATGCTTTAGATGAGAAAACAAAATTACTTGCATCTAGTAATAAATTTTCCCTGTCTAAATACATCTGTCAAGTAATGAATTCAGCAGCTCAGTGAAACAAACGGTTTACCTGCTCCTCCATAACGAAATACCCCTGTATTAAGGAAACATTGGTTGAAAAACAAGATGATTGCTTCAAAGAAAGACTTATTCTTCCAGTGTCCCCATCAACCTAAAAGGCATGGAAGAAATTTTTCATCCAACTTCAGTATCTGCCAGCTAGAACGAATCATTAACATCATTTTCTCTACTTCATCTATCTCACTTACATTAAGTACATGACTCCGAACAGACTGCCCAATGTATAAGACGTCAGAAAGGCCAATGGTCCGATCATCTACAATCTTCAAAATAATTGATCGAGTGAAATTTATGTATCATATATTAAGACAGTAATAGTAAAGCAAAAAACCAGAAAAAGGAATTCGATTTACTTTTCCTTTTGGAGCGAATCCAGTCAAACGCCCAAGGTAGCGGACAAAGCAACCAGTTTCAATTAAGTTGCAGACATAACCCTTCGAGAAAACAAGCAAACAACATAAATCTAAACTATTCCACCAAATCTCGACAAAGAAAGATGACAAGATTGTTGTGTTATCATAAGAACACAAACCATGATAACTGCTTACATGTAGCACCGATTGAGGGACAACTTGATCGATATCCGAAGGGAGCTGCTCGACAGATTTAACAAGAGAATATTTTGCAGAAAGAAACAAATGGTTCCCATCCATATCTGGAAAATGAGACATGCAAAGTGAATCATGAATCATCAGAATCAGTGGAGTTAATTCTTTTAAACATTATGAAAGTTTGAAATATTAAAAAAAAGTTTTAAAATCGAAAACAAGTTGGATCCAAAATATTTTACATAAGATACGAATAAAAGGTAAGATACGAATAAAAGGCAGCAATAACCCACGGCTTAAAATCCAGCAAGGAAAAGGCTAGATGAAAACTTGAATCATATTAGCTAGGAAATTTGTGTTGGGGTTTGTGACATTTAAAGCCCGTGAGAAAATCTAGTTATAACAAATTGTACATTTCGCTAGGAGTTGTATGATTAGTTGACTGACCTAGGGCTAGTCGGTCTATGGCCCGGGTCTTGTAAAACATATTTTCCCTTGAGTATGGGCACTATTGTTGGGGGTTTCTAAAGGGTCATCTATTGTTGAGGTCAGAAAGATGCCCAAGGATGGTTTGTAGGCTAGGAAAACTTTGTGGTCTCTTGTATGCGGTTGTAGGGCTGTGAAAATGATCCTCAACAGACTTCCACATGGTATGTATATATAACAGCTGCATTCTTCAAAGCAAACTTGTAGAGACACGTGTACATGTTTATAGAGAGAGTCCCTCTTGTATATACTTATACGAGCATCTGACTTGCTCTTAACAGGGGGACCTTAAGCGATATATTGGAATCATGGTTCATTATTTATTGGTCAGGTTTGACAAGCCAATCATAAGCCCCTGCAAATAACTCTAGGTCATGGGTCATGTTGGGCTAGTTTGAGTAGATATTTGTAAATCACGGTTTCTAGCTTGGGAGGAGTGCCCAGAGAGTCACTTTTCTTAACTCATTAGAACCGATCCACTTCTAGACGTATTTCTGATTATGTTTTAGATTTTTATTTTTTTTAGAACCACATAAATAGTGTATTTTTCCTCTTTCAAATTTAATTATGATTACAGATTTTCTTAGAAATTTTTAGAATTCAAAAAAAAAATGTATTTTCAACTGTAAAAACATAGAAAATGTACCACTCATATTTTAAAATTTAGTAGGGACCTAGTTTTAAGTGGGATCCCACATTTGTGTGTGTGTGTGTCTGTGTGTGTGTGTTTTGGCAGTTGGCAATGGTCTAGCTATCACTTAGGGGTGGGTCATGGGGCCCATAAGGGCCACAAGTCCCCCACACAAAGAGAGACACCCCCATTAAAATTTAAAATATTATCAAAATATTATTTGTCTTAAGGAGACCTGACGTTATTTGAAGTCCTATTTGGATTAGAATTCTTACTTGGACTAGAATTCCTACTTAGATCTGAATTTTTGTTAAAATATTATTCGTTTTAAAAAGTCACAATTGTATTAAGAGGTCCTATTTAGATTACAATTCCTACTTGGACTAGGATTTCTACTAAGATAAGAAATCATATTAAAATATTATTGATTTTAAGGACACTTGATGGTATTCGAAGTCCTATTTGGATTAGGATTCCTATTTGGGCTTAGGACTCCTACATAAAATCAAAATTCAAATCAAAATAAAAGTCTCGCTAGCAGTGGATATGGGTCAAAGACTAAAGGGTTAAGGACCCTAAAATTCCTCCATAAACCATAATTGCTGACTTTTAGGATGGATGGCTCATATTTATTTTTTCTCTCTCACCTCATAGATTACCAGGGAATCCTATTGGTCAAATTGATTTCTAATTAAGACAGACATACCCAAGACTTCTTGAAAACTATAAATAGGGTGTCTCTCTATTAGTTTAGGTCATTACCAATACTGTTGTGGATTTTTGCACAATCTCAATTGATAAATTTTAGCATGCTTCTACTTCTATTCTTCCAATAGAAAGGTACTTTGACCTAAGAACTAGTTTTCGGAAAATCTTATATCTTTCCCACTCAGTTTTGTTTTTGTTCATAACGTTGTGGTTTTTATTTCAGCCACTTATACAATTTTATTCATCTTAGAAGAATAAATAATGATCATTTTTTATTGACTATAATGAAAATAAAGTCAATATGAAAAAGAATAATATACATAAAGTCAAGTAGTTATACCATGCATTAGGCAGGTTAGATCATGTTCCTCATTAATCATTACAGTTAATATGAAAAAGAATAATATACATAAAGTCAAGTAGTTCTACCATGCATTAGGCAGGTTGGACCATGTTCCTCATTAGTTCAGTGTCAAAAACAAAGTTTTGATATGAAATTTATCCCAAAAAATATTACAAAAGAGAACACCGCATCACCAAAAAAAAAAAATCTAAAAATAATGGTGTGACAAAAACATAAATAAAAAAAAAGGCATTAAAAATTGAAGGTATGGCAGCACATAAGGCACTAAAAATTGAAGGTATAGCAGTACAAGGCATTCAATCACCTAGCACCAAAAGCTCTTTAAACTCGTATCCTGGCGTCAATAGTGACTTGAGCAATTCTGCCTGGTCTGCATATGTAAAGACAATTTGAAGAACGTCACACTTTTCAGAAGAAGGAAGAGATAAGCATGTCACAAGGAGGTCTTTTAATTAGTGATGCTACCTCGGTTATCTGCCAAATGTTCGGTGATTATTTTTCCCTTCATGTAAGCATTTGTTCCCACATATACCATAACTGCATTAGCAGTGACATGCTCGACAACACCAGAAATGATACTTCCGCACTTAATAGCGTGGTCAGTAACAGAAGCCCTGCCATTCAAAATGTTCAGTGAACATAATTCCCAATATTAACTCCAAACAAATAGCTTCAAACAAAGGAAACAGATAATTTCACACTAAAAAAGAGCCAATGTACACATGATGATCAGTAAAGGAATAAAGATGCCCTAATGTGATCTCACAACTCACAAGCACAAAAACTTATTACAGAAAGGCTAAGGTTTGCTGACTCACAAACAGTTACAATTAAAGTTCAGAGAAATATTATCAACTTCTTGGATACAAAAGAACTTAAATGAAAATCGCTACAGTTGTCACCGTAACAATAAGTATAAACATGAAGTGAAACAACCAAAGAACTAGAACACAAAAATGGCAAACTAGCAAGAAATTAAAAAACACTATCAGATAGTAAAACAAACATTTAAAAAAGAAGCTTGCCAGAATCATGAAATATTATCTGAACCAGTATAACATATTGTGCTTCTTTAAAGACTACCTATGCATCGAGTAGAACTAATTTAACAAGCCAAGGTAATTCTTCAGTCCCCTTTTTTTACTAAATTAATAGGCCAGGATAATTCTTCAATCCCCTTGTTTCGCTAAGCTCCTTACGCGGAGCTTGTTAAATCCCAAACACTGCCAGATAGAGACCACTGCCTCAAATGACTACACACACGACAGTTTCTATAATTTTCCTCTGCATGTTAGACATATAATGCATATCTATACCAAGATGAAACAACGGGCAGGGGCTTCTGCACTCCTGGAATGCAACAACAAATGCACTAGAAAAAATCCAACACAAGATAAAGGTGCAAAGGAAGCATACAAAAAAAAAAAAATTGCTCAAGTCCTTTAAAGCCAAGGACATTAACCAGATGACAAAGAGGCCTTAGTGAGCATTAAAACAGCAGAAGAAGACTGAGAAACAAGAACTACTCAAACAACTATTTGCACCAGCATAAACACATAGGAATGAACTCAATAAACGATGAAAACCCTTCGAAGAATTTTTCCTTAAGAGAATATCACCGTACAGGATTTACAAAACTACAAAATGACAACTGGGAGCAAGAGATATTGATGACATAAAATTCTTGTAAGAGTGATGGAACAAAACACAAATACCTGATCAGATTAACAACACGGCACCATAAACATGATACAGGATATGCATCATTATATGCAATGAACGCTACTTAACAGCCAAAAAATCATTGAATCAAAGAAATTTACTAGAAGAACAGATTAAACAACTGCATAAAAAATGGCAAGATGCTGAGTGATGTGCCAAAAGCATTGAGAGGTTTAAAACATGCTTCATCAATACCCAAAATTTCTGACTAAAGAAACCTAACCCACATGAAATTTTCCTGAATTCTCTTTCCTTTAAATGATAATTCAATAATATTCTAAAACCATCAAGCACGGCTCGTAACCATAAAAAGACCTTCCCAATATAATCAAACAGGAAATTCCCAACATAATGAGAAGATAGATCAGGCAATAACCTACAAACAATTACAATCATGTTATATTCTATTTCAACCTTTATAGTGATGTAAAACACACAAACCTTTTAGGAGACAATACAAAACTGAGGTTGATCTTCCGCGCACCAGGAATGGCATTTATTACTCTACATTTGACTACTTGCCCAACATGATACGTGGAATCAACTTCACTACCTAGATCTAATGCAAGCTCCGATCTGGATTACGACATTAACAAGAATAAGCCCAGAATAAAGATAAATAAAAATAAATCAATGCATTTCAAACATATGAGTTCCATCCTGGCTTTAAGGAAAGAGGGAAAAAACAACACTATCATAGCACTGACAAGTGGCAAATTTCCTAGGAGACATTACTACAAAGGAGAATAGCAAGACATGAGTTGCAGCATATAGGTACAAAAATGTTGAACTCTATCAAACATAAAACAGTTATACAATTACAGTACAATATGACCACACAAAAAAGTTTTATAAGCACCGCATACATCATTATATTGCATGTACTGGCTTTTTAAAAATAAATGGCACTTCATGTTACTCTCAATCCAACATAAACACAAATGAGACCATGCACTCATCAAAAGTTTGTATAGCTTTAGGAAGCTTCAAGTAGAGCTTACACAGAGCACAAGTAGCATAATTCACCAAGAGCCACCGCGGTCAAGTAACCAAGAGGTATTATAGCTCATGGTCAGATTGTTGGGGTTCGTAGCCTTTAAAGGTCGTGAACGCATGAAAATATAATAGTGGACTATGCACTCCAGTTGGAATGTAAATTAGTTGACTGACCTAAGGTTATATCCAACACCCTTTCCTAGGGCATAAGCACGAATGTTGAGGGTTTCCTAGAGGGTCATCCCTTGCTGAATTCGGAGAGAAGCTCAAGGAGGTGGTTAGCAGGTCAGGAGAGCTTCGTGGCCTCCTCTGGGCAAATATAAGCTTGTGAAATCGGGGGACGGTCTGGACGATACCTGATTCTGGATCAAGGCATCAAATTTTTAAACACTGGCTCCTAATAGGGTTATGCTCACATAAGAAAGCTTAGTTTGTGAGGTATTGCACAAGGAACCTTCCTGGCTCAAAAAATTTAGCAAGGCCAATAGGATTAGAGGTTGCTATTGGTCAAAAATCAAATGTGGGGTCTACTAAGTCCCATGGGGATGACCCTAGACACATTCGAGTAAGTCCTCCCAACTGTTTGTTTTATTTTTCAGTCACATTTACATAGGTATTATGAATTTTCAGGAATATCATATGTATAAATTGTAAGTGGAAGCTTGTCTTTCACTCCTGGATTGTGTTTAATTCGATTTGGCAGTAAAATCAAAGGTCTTAGGTTTTAATTAGGGTTATATTTCTTATTTATAGCAGTGTACTGTAGCACTTCTAAGCGGACCTCAGATTGATTATTTAAAGAAAAAAGATAGTCTTTACCACCAAGGCAAATCCAAGTCAGATGGTATCCATTTCTCATATCAATCTCTGGCAGAATCTTGGGCTTGCTAACATGTCAAGCAAATCACCAAGAGGAGGAATTGAGAAGCAGTACTTGATTGTTATTTTATAAATTGCCCTATTGTCCACACACATCTGCCAAGAGTTTCCTTCTTAGGGATCGATAAGGTTGACCCAAACTTCTCTCAAATCAGCTCCTTGTTGAATAACTTAGTGACTGGCCTATGTAGTTTCTCGTGTTCTTTTGGACTAAAATGAGGCAAGTACAAAAGAGTGGCACCGAGGTCTACATCAATGTAATGTTGTATATCCTCACAGTAGGTAAGCCACAGAGTTATTATTTTGGCATAGCATCCATAATGGTAACAGCAATAGAGATGGAATTAAGAGGAGAAGAACCCTGTGTTACCAATGCAACCACAATCCCTTGCTCTCAGCTTTCCTCAAGAAACCGATTCAAAGGAAGTATAACCACCCCCCACCCCCCTTCTTTTCAGATTCAAGCTGGTTTTCCTCTTTTACTGCTTGCAAGGTCATTTTAGTACCATTCTCCCAAAAGTTATAAGTATCATGTCTTTCATCGTGTATGGCACTGCGGTCATACTGCCATGGGCAGTCCAATAATATGTGGCAAGCATCCACAGGTAACATCACACCAATTGTACCTGTACATTTTTCTAATGGCAAATTTAACAACCCTGATTAACATGGGTTTTATCACCTCATATCTGGAGATCTTGTACGATAACAGATGCCTTTCCCACATCAAATAGTGCTTGTCCACCATCTCTTGTGACACCGCAGCTCCAACTATCAATGATAATGGTGCAGACCTTTCCCTATACAGTGCATCAGGTGCAAAAGATATTTGTTTGCAGCAAGGGTTCTTCCCCCAGTATTTGGATAGGAAATAATTGTCTACTCACAGGAAATTCACCCTCACCGCTGCAACACCTTCGGGTTCATTTATCAAGGTCTTCCGCATAGACACATCTCATCTCAAGTTCTCCATCATAGTCCGAATCTATATCATAGAGATGTCCAGGCCAGCCTCTTTGGGCACTCAAACGATCGATGCCAGGTTCATCACACTTAAAAAAATTATCACCATGTTCCCAGGTTTGAAGAGGCTAATCAAGATCGTGCCTTTTCCCGTTGTTGCCTCGTCACCAGGACAAGGATTCAAGTTGGCAGGGTCTCAAATTAGCATTGGGCCCTATGAGAGCTGAAGATGGTTCCTGATCATAGGAGCCACTAGAAAAACTCCTCAATGTTGATTCAACCTTTAATGCAATTTGTTTGGATCATGGCTAAAGATTTAATGAACAATCATTCATCAGACGAAAGATGGTGAGAAATAGGGTAAGTGCTTACTTTCCAATGTTCTTTCAGTTTCTAACGACTAAAAAACTCCCAAAGAGTGGATCCAAATAACAAAGCTTTCTTCACAGTGAGTGAACAAAGAAAATATATATTAGTACTGTCTGATCACATCAAGAATACTAGCCCAAGGGAAAAAGAATATAGTACTCTAGAAAAGGAGGTGACAAGGTAAACCGGTGATAGGAAACTTCAATTACAACTCGAACATTTAAACCATTAACAATAAATGTAAGTGGAATCAACAAAAAGCAAGAAAAGATAATATAAGGAATGCGTTCCTAAAATGTAATTCCATATTCATTTTAGCACAAATAGATGACAAATCAAAATAACTTCAATGCAATGCTCTCCAGAAACTAATGTGCTGCCCAATTCCCTCAGAAAAACAAAATTGCGCTATCCATTGTCCTCCACTTCCAAAGCAGCCCATAGTACCAATTATACAAATATAATAAAAAATGAATTTCAGTAAGTTAAAAATATTGACAAAATCAGATCCTTAAAGGTCTCCACCTAGAGCAACAGTCATATCAAGTGGGAAACATTAGTAAAATGCACAAGGGCAAAACAGGTAAAAATCTTGCCTATGAGCAAAACCCTGCACACCATTGTAGAATCTTACAAAGCAACCATGCTTCTCTATTTTGGTAATCCAACCATGTGTGATTAATCCAACAGCAGCATTGACGTATGAGGAAAGAACGCCAAGCTTTGACTTCACCTAAAAAGAACAAAATACTATATTTATGTTTAACCAAACCGAAAGATGTATGGTACACCACAAAAGTTACAACTAAGAACAATCAAACAGTAAAATAATCTTGAAAGAATTTATGGAACACCTTAATGTTTGTCAAATTTAATCTAAGTTATATATAGCATATTATATGAATCAACAATAGTTTATGGCTAAATGTTAAATAGCATGAAGGTGTGATGTATGTAGCCGAGGATGGAGATCAGTGGGAACATGCATAGATGCCTATCAACAGAGAGGCGTATATGATGCCTATAAGCATATATGGCTTCAAAGCATAACCAATTCTAATACAATTTTCGCAACTTACCATAAATATGTTCACGTTATGTGCAGAAGCATGAATGAAGAAAGTTCACATGCAAACATATACAGACCATGTAGACATCCATAGCATTACATATATGCATATGAATAATCCATATACACGTGGAAACCATTGGAATGCTGCTCTTAAAGTTACCATGTCGCTGAAGGCATGGTTGTTTGGCAACAAAGTTATGCCTTTTTTTAAAACAAATTGCAAGTGCATGTCCTCATTTGAAAAACCATCAATACACCCTTAGAATGCTACACCGCTTGCTAATAATGTACGTCTTCTCAATTATATACTTCAAAAAAAAAAAAATTTACACTAGTCTGGTTGCCTTTTATAAAAAACTTAATTTCTTAGGTTACAAGGACATTACATGTGACCATACTATCATATTATCATATATGTTCAGTCAGCTCTTGAACATGATCTAATGTTATAGTAATCAACAGTTTTTGAGCTGGTAGCAGCTCCAGATTCACTTCCAAAAAGTTGTCCACATAGAATATCTATGTGGGTACTACATATCTCGAAGATCTATTTCCACAACTAAGTAGGAAGCAGTATCTCATTTCCAAGTCTCATGCATAAGTTGTCTATAGAAACACGCTGTTTTCGAGCTAACAGATAATTTGGATACACGCGCTATTGTCAAATTTTAAGTTCAAATCTCAACCTGTACTTCTCAAGGGAATAATAATGTGGTGATCAAATTAGAAAAATGTTTTTGCACGACCATAGCCTCCGACACCATCCAATGAAAATGGAGAGGCAAGATGCACTGATATCTGCATCAGCACATCATGGGAGTCCAATTCTCGTTGGACAGGACAGGAAGCTGTGGCTGCATGCAACAGCAGCAGCACAAACACCCTACCCTTCAAATTATTTATGATCATGAATTTTATCCAGCATGAAGCCATTGAGGTGCTGGGTTTTCATAGCACAATGTCTCAAGTTCCATTCCTTTGTAACTTTTGTCAAAAAAAAAAAACAAACATTGTACAAGAGAGGGTACTTGGGAATGTTATATATGTCCCACATTAAATAAACCCTGAATATCAACTTAACAAAAAGTAAACTTGTTCTCCAAACAATCAAAACAGCCACGATGTTTCCGATGCAAATAAGAGACTCCCCAATTTTAAACTGTGTACACAATTCGTAATTGTGACTCAGGCATATTCTCGGTCCATATTATGTGTATGACACCCATTGAGGGTCTTTTAGTAAGTTTACAAATGTAAACCTATACATAATGATCAAGCAAAGTTAATCAATTATCAATTTACGGCACCACATACAATCAATGAGAGTACAAAACTTTACCTTTCTAGGGGATTTGCTTGCCAAAACCAAGACAACATCCGAAGACAATGTAAAAAGTACAATATCTACTAATGATGCAGATGGACTCCATATAAGTTCTAATTCAGTATTTCATAACAACAGACAAAGCACATCAAAATGAATGACCAATGCAACCCTACATGTGCATTATAGAGCCCATCAATGACCATGCTGTTAAGGCTTTAGCAAGAGGATACGACTATGCAGTAGGCCAATTGTGATTCAACTCATCAGATGATCCATTTCAGGTTTCTTTTGTTTTTCCAATTCTTAGAGAAGTAATCAACTTGTGCCATAATTACTTGTAACCCAGCAATTAATTTGGTGGAAATTTTCTACTCCTTCCATATGGCACAGACATTGCACATAAGATAGATCACAAATTCACATCTCAAACATACATACTAATGCCATTAACCTAGAAATGGTGAAAATGGTAAAACGGTCACCGATTTTCTTAAAATGTAACTTGCTTAATGTGTAACAAAGGACTGCACTATTTTACCACCAAGAAATGGAAAAAGAATTCAAAGAATGTAAAACTCAGAATACTGAAATCATCTTTTATAGGAAAAGATCAGCACAAAAGAATCAGGCTGCAAAACGTACAAGGGTTTTCTTGTGTGTCACAGTGATTCTCTTTGATTTGCATCCCAAGACACGAAATGTTAACTCTGCTCCAACCTACAGACAATTCCAGGAAGAAAGTAAAGATCTCCTGCTAATGTGACAATGAACGAGATACATAAACAAAGCAATGATAAAAAAAAAATCACATCCTCCAGCAAACCAACACAGTTGACTAGAAAATTATTTTAATGAAGGTAGGTTGAAAACATACCTCGAATTTCTTAAAAGGTTTTACAAGTTCGAATTCTGACATATGCTGAAGAGGACAAAGTGCCTTGATACCATTAGAGAATTGCACGATTGCACCAAATGTTTCCACAGCAATGATCTTTCCTTTGACAAACATACCAGGCTTCACATCTGAATGAGCAAAAACAGACCCCTCAAAAGCAGAAGCCTGTACATA